AACGGCTCTTACCGCCAAAAGAGAACGCAGGGCTCCGGCTACGATGGCAGATGTTGCAGGAATGGAGGGTGTAGCAGGAACAGTGGGCGCAGCAGGAACGCTGGATGTAACAGCAGCGATCCGAGCCTCGGGTTCCGCCGCGCGAATCAGTCCACAGGTGGCCCTGCACACCAATGCCAGCTAGCATTTCCTTCCTGTTTTTCGACAGCCGCACCTCACGCAGAGACTCTTCTTTCCCGGGGCCGATTTGCAACCACATTTCTCCGTTTGCGTCTTGTTGTCGGTGCCAACGTAAGAATACTCAGACAGCCATACCACGCGATTTTCCGCTGTCATGTGCTCCGGGCTGGTCCCCCGCGTTTTCGGGTCGATCCCCCATCCCTTGCCGTTGAAGTCTCGTACTGGTACCACGTCTAAACAGCCATCTCGCCAGTACCCAAGCACCTGATGGCTTCGCTCGCTCTGCTGGCGCATGGACTCGAACAAGGGCACGTTGATGTAGCCTTCTTTGAACCACTCCTGAGGGTGAGCATCCGGATGACGTCGATGTAATGTGCGACATCGCCATTGTCTGTGCGGAAAATCCAGCCGGGCTCCTGCCCACCACGAGCAAAGGCAGCTTCATACTTAAAGTAGAATATGGTCGCCAACAACTTGATGCACTCGTCGATCTTGACGCCCCATGCCCCACCCTCGCGCACGCAGAGAGACGTGCGAAACACACCCTCCGTCCGCACGCTCTTCAGAGTAAGAGCCCACATGGTCCCGAAAGGCAGGCCCGATATGGCAGGCAGGAAGTCGCAACCAGCAAGCAGGTAGACGAGGACAAAAAGGCGCACCCAATCGTCGTCGTCGGGAATCCAACCCTGGAAATCGGAGTCCGTCGCAGAGATCTCTAGCCGTAGAACTGCGATTGGCGATGTGCGTGAAGCCCTTCTCATCTGCCGACCTGTGACATGCAGCATACTCTACAGTTTCTCTCCTGCCAATTGCTCCCCCCGTGGGCACAGGTTACATGGCTCGCCGGGAGTAGTGGTGACCCATACCTTCGCGCGCGGCTTCCTCTTTCTCTTGCTTCCGTCACTATCGGCAACTGCTCGTGGTCTCTTCCCATCTTGACTCGCCGCCGAGAACGAACTCCCGGCGTAGTGCTCGCCGTTATTGCACGCTCAGCCTCGGCGATCTCACGTTCCTTGCGGGCCTTTGTCTCCGCCCTCCCCACCGTCTGCTGCTCCTCGTTACCACCTCTGCAATCTTCTGCTCCAACTGCGGTTGTAGTAGGACCAAAGAACGTCTGGCCTTAACCCTCGCCGGACGCTTCTTCCCTGATCCTCGGCCCGAACCTTTCAACCGCACGCCAGAATCTTGCGCCCGGCGCTCGCCTAGGTGTCTGTACTGGCGTTCTCGCGATGGTGCGTTCCCTCTTCGTTGCCTCTCGCAGCAGCTAGAGAGGATGGGTTCTCCGTCTACTGGCCAGCGGGCGGATGCCGCGGGGACACGGACGGTGTGTATCCCCCCCCACCGCCAGGGGCAACAGCAAGGGGGGAACAACACACTTTCTTCTGTCCCGGTTAGCCATGCAATTACGTGACTGCACGACATCATGAAGCCACCCCTGAAAGCGAAGTTGCGTATCGACAAACAAAGGAAACGGCAATTGGTTAGTGCTCGGTCACGAATTTGTTACAGCAGCGGTGCTCTTCTTCGTGATGCCCGGAGCTTGACAGCCACCGTCAAAGGTCTAGTTGCACAGGTTTAGAAGTGTTTTTCTTTGACGTGTGGTCAGCACGAACGGGTATGCCGAATCACACATGTCACGAAACGTGGGTGGCAAAAGCAATTCACAACGGATCAAATACTGATCTTGGAAGATTGGACATCGATTTTATACCATACTAGTGCGATAGATGCAACACACACTAAAATTGGCTGTTGCGTTGTTGCGGCCTGCTTTCGATGTGCATTACACCCGGCTACGCACGCACGTGCATGCGGATGATTACCAGCACATACGTAGGATCCACATGGGCGTATTGACGTTTGACCTCGTGATGCTTGAGTGTCTCTTACCCCAATAAAGTATTTACTTTTGCAATAGGTGGGCATGTGGACTGAGTCTGTCTATCAGTCAACCTACGTTTAGTTGTGGTGTGCCAACCTTATATTCATGCACCCGCGGCCGTACACACGCGTGCCCCTGGTTGCTGGCCATCACGAGCGGGATCCAACATCAAGCTTGAAATGTGACCTCGTCATTCCTCTGTCTCTGTACCAAATGAAGTAATTTTTCTTGTAAAAGATGGGTATGTGAGCTTCGTAGATAAAACAATCGAGGTTCCGTTTCATTATGCCAACCTCATGGAAGTGCACCCACGCACCCACCGCCCTACACACGTGTGACTCCGGGTGTTGCCACCATCAATGGATCCAACAACAAATTTGAATATTGATCTCGTCATTCTGAAGTGTTTCTCCACCAAATCAAGTACTTCCTTTTGTACTAGGTGGGTACGTGAGCATAGTCGATAGAAAAAATCAAGGTTTGGTTGCATCGTGCCAACCTCATGGAAGTGCTGTTCGTGAGTCTGCGAACATTGCTGTTGGATACATGTGCTGGATGATTTTGTGTCACGCAGACTGGTAAGATAACCGTTTGATAGGGGGCGCCGCGATGATTCACGGGGCCCCTCCTTGCTGTGGGAGCCGCTCTTTGAGCACTCCCTCTTTCGTCCGTGTGAAGGACGGTCGTCTACCTCCCGTGAAGTTAATACATCACCAAAACAGTCTCACCCGATAAATAAGTGGCGTAGGCCGCAAACACTCT